AATTCAGCAGCTCGAGAACCATATCCGAGATAAAGAAAGGCAAAAATCTCAGTTTTCGTCATCTACAGCTACTCGTACTTTCCAGTATGAAACACCTAAATCAACAAATTATAAAATGGATCAACCACAAACTGATTTTCGAGCACATCTAAGTGACCAAGGCAGATATGCCGGTGATAGCTGGAACACGCCAAGAGATTCTTCCTTTTCTGTTGATAGATATGGTCTTTCAACTGCTCCTGTAGAGAGGGAACCATATGTTCCAAAGATTATTGACGTGACCTACACTGAAGGTTCAAACGACAAAAAGTGGAGCAGTCGTGAATTTCCCTGGACAAGAAAACTGGAGGTGATTAGCTGAGTTTCTCTTATCTTTGTTCACTTACGTTCAATGTGCTCATGTGTTTCCTTGTAACTTTCAGGTTAATAATAAAAAAGTGTTTGGAAATCATTCGTTTCGACCTAACCAGAGAGAAATTATCAATGCAACAATGAGTGGCTCTGATGTTTTTGTTTTGATGCCAACTGGAGGAGGGAAGAGTTTGACATATCAGGTCACTAAAATTAAACCAGTACATTTGGTTTCACTTTGATTCTTTATCCTACTCAAAAGAGATGAAGTTTCAAGTTATTTTCTCAAAATTGTTTTCTAACATTTTTCTTTGGCAGCTCCCCGCTCTAATCTGTGGAGGAATAACATTAGTCATTTCTCCACTTGTGTCGCTTATTCAAGACCAGATAATGAACCTATTGCAGGTGAACACTTCAGCTACCCCCAGAGATTCTATTTATATCTTCTATTTCATTTATAAGTTATTCTCAGTGGATTCTTTCCATCTCACACTTTGATTTCTGAATTATGGTTACAGGCCAATATACCGGCTGCTTCCCTAAGTGCCGGTATGGAATGGGCTGAACAACTAAAGATCTTTCAGGAACTGAATTCCGAGCATTCTAAGTACAAGTTGCTATATGTCACACCTGAAAAAGTGGCAAAGTGAGTTGTTATTTTTATATAAAAACTCTCTTTCTGTTTTTTTATTCTTTCCGATTCCTCTTGTTATTAGCCACGGGTAGGATATTTTATGGCCTATGGATTATGCAGTACTACCGGAGGTTTCTTGTAATTCTAGATTGGTTATTAGCTTAGCTGTGGACGATTAATGCAAGGCTCACCACACTGAAAGATATTACTTGTAACACCTAGCTAAGAAGTATCTCTTTCTTGACTACAGAAGCGATTCTCTTTTGAGGCATCTGGAAAACTTAAATTCTCGTGGTTTGCTTGCTCGGTTTGTTATTGATGAAGCTCATTGTGTGAGCCAATGGGGGCATGACTTTCGACCAGACTACCAGGTTAGGCAATCAAAAGCTTCAAACAACATAACTCTCTTACTTTTTTGAGAAACATTATCGTCCTTTATACTTACCAAATTTTTTGTGGAATGCACAGAGTCTTGGTATACTGAAGCAGAAATTTCCCAACATTCCCGTGTTAGCTTTAACAGCTACAGCAACAGCCAGTGTGAAAGAAGATGTTGTACAAGCCCTTGGCCTTGTTAACTGTGTCGTATTCCGGCAAAGTTTTAATCGTCCAAATCTATGGTAAGGTACAACTACCTAAAACCATATATGTATACCAGAATGCTGCTTACCAAGAAGTTTGCAGGTATTCCGTTGTTCCCAAGACAAAAAAGTGTCTGGAAGACATCGACAAATTTATTAAGGAAAACCATTTTGATGAATGTGGAATTATATATTGTCTTTCAAGAATGGACTGCGAAAAAGTCTCTGAACGGTTGCAGGTTGGTCATTTGTATATTGAAGCTTTATCAAGTCGTGTGCATACCACAAATATTATGTTGAAACGTAGAATTGGATACTATTTTTCAGGAGTTTGGTCATAAAACAGCATTCTACCATGGCAGTATGGAGCCTGAGCAACGTGCCTTTATACAGACACAATGGAGCAAGGACGAAATCAATATAATATGTGCTACTGTGGCATTTGGAATGGGTACTGGTTTTTGCTAATGTTGTTTTAATTCATTGAATGTTTCTGCCCATTAACATTGCACATATCAGGAATCAACAAGCCTGATGTCCGCTTTGTTATTCATCACTCGCTTCCGAAGTCTATAGAAGGCTATCATCAGGTATTTTTAATAATACAATCAATCATGTAAATCTTATTTAACTGATTCCACATAAAGCTAGATACTGGTATTTCTTCTAGAAACTCACATAAGCTATATTATTTTTAATCCAAAGGAATGCGGTCGTGCTGGTAGGGATGGCCAGCGGTCATCTTGTGTTTTGTATTACGGTTATGGCGACTATGTAAGTGCATATAAACTAACATATTGTATTTTTCTTATCCGCTTTGTTAGTCTGGAACGATGAATTTCTTTGATCTTTCATCTTTCCGCTCTTGATCTTGTTTATGCATACACAATATTATTTCAGATACGAGTCAAGCATATGATTAGCCAAGGAGGAGTTGACCAAAGCCCCATGGCAACTGGGTATAATCGTGTAGCAAGTTTAGGGAGGATACTTGAAACAAATACCGAAAACCTTCTCCGCATGGTACTTAATGTGAAGAATCCTATTTTTTTGCTTTCGATGGTATACTTGTTGAGATATTTCTCCAATTTTATTGCTTCAGGTTAGCTACTGCGAAAATGAGGTGGAATGCCGACGCTTCCTACAACTAGTGCATTTCGGGGAAAAATTCGATTCCACAAACTGCAAAAAAACGTGTGATAATTGTTGCAGTAGTCAGAGTTTGATTGACAAAGATGTAACCTTGATCACAAGGCAACTGGTACAGAAATCATTAGAAGCTCACTATGTATGTGTTATTATTGGTCACATCTCACTATCTTCTGTGCGTTGCACAGGTTGAACTGGTGAAGCAAACAGGAGAAAGGTTTTCTTCTGCTCATATTCTTGAAGTCTACAGAGGTTCCTTAAACCAAATGGTATGCACAAATAATAATAATCCACATTTCCTTCAAGCCTTTGGAGATATTTCTACCAGATTATGCTAATTATTAAAACCTGTTTCGCCTCATAAACCATGGTCTCCTTTTTATACTTGGTAAAGAATAATTGTTAATGAAAGCCTTGGCTTCTCAAGCCCAGCAATCCAACCAGTGTAGGTCGATCTCTTGAAAAAATAACTGTCTTCTTTGCATCTAGGTCAAGAAACACAGACATGAGACTTTGCAGCTCCATGGAGTTGGAAAACATTTATCGAAAATTGAAGTCTCTCGTATCTTACACTATCTCGTAACAGAGGACATTCTTGTGGAAGATGTCAGGAAAAGTGATATGTATGGATCTGTGTCATCGTTGCTCAAGGTACTTAATTTTGAATTATTTCCACTTTGCTTCTCCCTCTCATTAATGATTAAGTATGATAGTAAGCTAACTGGAACCCTGATTGTCTCTATTTACCTATTTGTATCTAGGTGAATAACGCAAAGGCTACCTTACTATTTTCTGGAAGCCAGACTATAATGATGAAGTATGACTTTGTGCTTATATCTTTCTTTAAGGTTCATAAGAACTAGGTTCAAGCAAATCATTGCAATTACCTGTGTTTTATTTGTTAACGGCTTGTTAAAATTACTTACAATAAGACTTCCATAATCTGTTGCAGATTCCCTTCTTCTGTAAAAGTATTAAAGCCAAGTAAACAGGGGGCAACCGCAGCAAAAGGTCCTCTAACATCAGAGAAGCAAAGTACTCTTCCACTTACAACAGAAGATGCTCCTCCAAAAGATTTGGTATAGTTCACTGTAGTTCAGTCTCTTTCTTTCTTGTTGACATTAATCTACCACTCTGAATTGCTGAGGTTTGTTCCTTGATCTTTTTCTCTAGAATCTCTCTGCCAACATGTACACAGCCTTGAGGAAGCTTCGTACAGCTCTTGTCAAAGAAGCCCCTGATGGTGTCATGGCATATCATATATTTATGTAAGTCTGAAAAACCATTCCGCTTCTCATTTTCCAAGCTCTCTACTTGATCATGGTCAATTCCATTATTTCCTCACAGAGTCTCTGTGTTTGTGGTGGCAGCAATTCAACGCTTCAGCAGATAAGCAGACGAATTCCCAGAACCAAAGAGGAACTCCTTGAAATCAATGGCCTTGGGAAGTAAGTTGTTCTTTTATCTTAATACCTTTACTCTTAATCACCAAAGCAATGAAGAAAAACCCAAAAGCGTTTGCTGATGGTGTGTATCTTTAAACTCTCTTTCAGGGCCAAAGTAAGCAAGTACGGTGATCGGTTGTTGGAAACAATAGAAACAACGGTGAACGAGTACTACGGAACTAATAAGAAAGACTCCATCATCAGCAACGACAGTCCCGATTCAGGGAAGAGGAGAAGAGACGAGAACATTAGTCCAAATGTAGCCGAGGATGATGATTTCGAAGTAAGTCCAAGCCAGTCCTGCAAAAAAACAGTGAGAAACAAAAGCAATGAGGTTCTTCATGGTGAATGTGTAGATGGAGATAGAAGAGGCATGGTTATGGAGAAGCTTGACTTTGATTTCAGAGACGAAGATGTGTCAGAGATACGACCGGAGGGAAGAGTATTACCTTGGTGAAGTTGTGATCACTGAAATTATAGTTGTAAAGAAATTTTGCTGTAATATTTTTTTAACTTCTATGGCCTACTCAATGTACCTTGATGTTCAGTAGATTGCAGAAACTATTTATTAGATGGTGACTTCATTGATGATCTTTGGATTTTTTTTGTTTAATCAATCATATATTTGGGATTTGACTAGAATGAAGAATTACAGGTGGCGATGGATCATTTATCATAAGAGAGATATTATTGTGAAGAAACCACTTCAGCCAATGGATTTGGTAGCTAGATAAAGTTGACTTGGGGTCAACCCCCTCACTACTTTAATCTGAGGCTCTTTTTTTGCTTATTCACATAAGGTAAATTCTGTTATTTGACATTTATTTCTTGTCTGCTTGTTTTGCTTTGATCCGTCGTTTATACTTCGTTGTGGTGAGTGGAATGTGGAATTTGCTTCAAAATACGTCTTTGAATTATTACGAGAACCAGTTCCATTTGTTACATATAAACAATACCTGAATCTTTTAAGTCAAAACTTATTACAGGTTTGTTATCTAAACAAGTTCTTCTGTTTTAATAAATTGTTTCTTCTGTCTCACTAGAACGATCTGTCCATGAAATTTTCTCGTAAAGGGTTATTATGGCTGAAGGAGTTGTGTTGTTTGGAGTTCAGAAGCTTTGGGAGCTTCTGAATCGAGAATCTTCGCGATTGAATGGAATAGATGAGCAAGTTGAGGGACTAAAGCGTCAGCTTGGAAGGTTACAGTCGTTGTTGAAAGATGCAGATGCCAGGAAACATGAAAGTGAAAGGGTGAGAAACTTTTTGGAAGATGTCAAGGACATTGTTTATGATGCTGAGGATGTAATTGAATCCTTCCTTCTGAAGAAATTTAGAGGAAAAGAAAAAGGGATCATGAGGCATGCGGAAAGGCTTGCTTGCTTCTTAGTGGATCGCCGGGAATTTGCTTCAGATATCGAAGGCATAACTAAGAGGATTTCTGAGGTGATTGAGGGAATGCAGAGGTTAGGGATACAACAGATTATCGATGGTGGGCGTTCGCTGTGTATACAGGACAGACAAAGGGAGCAAAGGGAGATCCGACAAACATTTCCCAACAATACTGAAAGTGATCTTGTGGGGGTGGAACAGAGTGTTGAAGAATTGGTTAGTCATTTGGTGGAGAATGATAACACTCAAGTGGTTTCTATATCTGGGATGGGTGGAATTGGTAAAACCACTCTTGCAAGACAAGTCTTTCATCATGACATGGTGAGATGTCATTTTGATGGATTCGCATGGGTTTGTGTTTCGCAAGAGTTTACACGGAAGCATGTTTGGCAAAGGATCTTGCAAGAACTTCGACCACATGATGGTAGCATTTTGCAGATGGATGAATATACACTCCAGGGTCAACTCTTTGAACTGATGGAAACTGGTAGATATATAGTTGTCCTCGATGATGTATGGAAAGAAGAAGACTGGGACTTAATTAAACCCGTGTTTCCGCAGAAAAGAGGTGAAATCTTTTGCTACATACATAAAGCAATTGTTTTAATTTCACTAGTGATTGTAAAAAGAGAGAGATATAATATGTTTTTGCAGGTTGGAAGATGCTCCTTACTTCTCGAAATGAGAGTGTTGGGTTACATGCAGATCCAACATGTTTTGCCTTTAGACCAAGAATCCTTACTCCCCAAGAAAGTTGGAAGCTCTGTGAGAGAATAGTGTTCCCTAGGAGAGACGAAACTGGTATGCATAATTAAGCCCAAGTATCTTGTGAATTAAGCTTAATTTCTCTTTACGTTTTATATCAACAATCCTCAAGATTAATTGACCAAATTGTCCGGACACGTCCAATCATCTCGGGAAATCATAAAACTATGCAACATATTTATTCAAGGCTCGAATCTTACAATATTACCTTGTGATGGTTTGCAGAGTTTAGGGTTGATGACGAAATGGAAGCCATGGGTAAGAAAATGGTCGCATATTGTGGAGGACTACCATTAGCAGTTAAAGTGCTGGGAGGCCTATTAGCTAAGAAACGTAAAGTTCCTGAGTGGAAAAGAGTATGTGACAATATTGGAACTCAGATCGTAGGAAAATCTGGTTTAGATGACAACAATCTCAATTCGGTTCACCGAGTATTGTCTCTGAGCTATGAAGATTTGCCAATGTGTTTAAAGAATTGCTTTCTTTACCTAGCCCATTATCCTGAAGACTACAAGATAAATGTTAAGACATTGTTCAACTGTTGGGCTGCAGAAGGAATCATAACATCATTTTACGACGGATCTACCATCCGAGATAGTGGAGAAGGCTACCTAGAAGAGCTAGTGAGGAGAAATATGGTTATTGTTGAAAAAAGCTACTTTGCTTCGAGAATTGATTCTTGCCAAATGCATGACATGATGAGAGAACTATGTCAAAGAAGAGAACTTCCTACAAATCATCAAAGTCCCTCCATCCACCTCTACCATAAATTCTCAATCTCCTAGTAGATCTCGCAGACTCTCCATACATGGTGGTAATGCTCTTCAAAAGCTGGGGCAGAAAAACAACAAAAAAGTCAGATCTCTTTTGTTTTTTGGTGACGAGGATGACTATTGTATACAGTCAGCTCCAAGCTTCCAATGTTTATCATTGCTCAGGGTGTTACACCTTTCTAGGGTAAAGTTTGAAGGAAGGAAGATGCCTTCTAGCATTGGAGAGCTCATTCACTTGAGATTCTTGAGCCTATACAAAGCGGGGTTATCTCATATACCTTCTTCTCTGCGGAAACTAAAGCTTCTGTATTATTTGAACTTACGTGTTGATGTGGGATCACCAGTTCATGTGCCAAATGTTTTGAAAGAGATGCAAGAACTGAGGTATCTTTTACTACCTGTGTCAATGCATGATAAAACCAAGTTGGAATTAGGTGATCTAGTGAACCTCGAGTACTTGTGGCGTTTCTCAACGAAACACAGTAGTGTGACGGACCTCTTCTGTATGACTAAACTCAGGGAGCTCAATGTATTTATCACTGGCGGGTGTAATTCTGAAACTCTGTCGTCATCACTCCATCAACTGAGAGGCCTCGAGGTGCTAAGTTTACATGATAGGCAAGAAACTCGTGTGGCTTATCATGGAGGAGAAATCGTTCTGGATTGTACTCATCTAAAGGATTTAGTGTTAGCGATGCATATGCCAAGGTTTCCTGATCAGTATCAATTCCCTCCCTACCTTGCACACATATGGCTAATGCATTGCAGCATGGAGAAGGATCCAATGCCGATTCTAGAAAAGTTGCTTTATCTGAAGTCTCTTGTATTAACATGTGGTGCTTTCGTCGGGGACAGAATGGTGTTCTCAAAAAGGGGATTTCCTCAATTGTGTGCTCTAAAACTATCTGAACAAGAGGAGTTGGAAGAGTGGATAGTAGAAGAAGGTTCGATGCCATGTCTTCCTACTTTGACGATAGATAAATGTAGAAAGTTGAAAGAGCTTCCGGAAGGGATCAAGTACATAATTTCCTTAAAGGAACTGAAGATAAAAGGAATGAAGAGGGAGTGGACGGGGAAATTGGTACCAGGTGGAGAAGATTACTACAGAGTCCAACACATTCCCAGTGCTCAATTTATCAAATGTGACCACTAATAAGGAGAATGAGCAGTTTCAGACTTTCAGGTAAAGGTTTTTGGTATTGTGTCCACTCTGTTCATTCGCTGGTTTTGCATCTTACTTGGATTACAAATTGGAAACGATTAAGAGAAGTATATTGAGGAAGTATTCAGTATCATTCGCTTGTAAGTTCAGAGTATATAAGATTCGATACAATCTGGCACATCTACAAATTTGACTCTCATCTATTTCATGAAACACGATACATACATTTATTACATTCTAAACGACGGGACAAAAACAAAGAACCAGAAAAATTACATTCTTATGTACTTCTAAATTTTGGCTCTGATCGTGATTTTATAGGCGGTCTTGAAGCGACATGATGCTTTGACAAGATCTCTGCAATGAGTAGCCGACCAAACATATGAGAGTTCTTGAGAATGAGGTTTCTTGTGGAGGAGTCAACAATGTATCCTTGACCAGGCATCCATTGTAGAAGTTGAAGAAGTAATTCCTTTTTATCGGGCAGCAAAATGTATCGAGAAATTGCAATCTCAAACTGAACCTGAAAACAAGAGTACACATCGCGAAGGAAAGAACGGAGAAGAAATGAGATACAGTATAATCAAAGAACGAAATCCTTTTTCGTTATTTCTCAACTGTTATGAAAATTATTTCCAAGCAAAACGTTGACAAAATAGCTTCAAATTGTTCCCGGTTGGTTATTTACCTGATCGATTTTGTGGCCAGAACCATGCAAGACTTTCAGAACATCATTCACTAAATTAATATTACCCGAGATCATAAAAGCTCTGCCAAATTTCTTTAAAGTAGGCTGTGAGATCATCTTTGCATTGTCCTGAAACAGAATGATGACCAAATTAGACCATTCACGCAATGGACAGAATGTTAAAATTTGCCTGAGAGAGGGATTTCACACCTTCACTACAATGTATGCGTCTTTTAGGAGGTCCCCATGGATTAGAATGTGAAGAATTTTCTCATGGAGCTCTTTGCAGATAGTTCTTTTGCTGTATCGCAACATATTGTAGACTGAGAATGCTTCCGAGGGAGCTCTAATCTTGCCGAGATGATAAATCAAGGATGAGCAAAGTTCCTGAAAATTTCAACAAGTTGTAAATGAGAATTAATAAATAGGGTCTGGTTAATGCGAATTTTTCATTATCTCGTATTACTTACCATAAAAATCAAAGATAATAAAAGCTAAGAAGCAAGATTTATATATTAGAACACTAAAAACGAGCAATGTCTTGATGCTAGTTACCTCCTCAAGCCTGTGGCCTTTGCTGTGCATGTCAAGTGTGGTTTGGTACGCAAGCAGGTGCAATTTCTCCTTGATGAAATATTTGATCAAGATATGGAAAGTATTATAATCGGGAATAATGGCTTGCTCATCCATTTTCTTCATCATTCGCATAACACTTTCCATCTCTCCTGCTCTGCAATAGGCACAGAGCATTGTGTTTAACATTACCAAGTCGCATTTTTCATAAGTGGTTTCAGAGTCCCTTGACAGTTCTTTTGCCTCCTCAAAACGCTTACTTCGACATAAAGCAGATATCATGATGCTGTTGGCATAGCCATCTGAAAAACAGGAAACTGACATCATTGTCTAGATAAACAGGAAACTGAAATTGGTTTGGTGCTGTGCTTAAAATCTGTAGTAAGTTGGATAGGAAAACCACATACTACTTAGTGATTTCTTTATCAGTTTCTGACAAATCGGAGAAAAGCTCTAACCCTAAGACACCCCAAATTGTAGCAAATTGCTAACTCATAAGTCATAAGTGATAAATCTTCAAGGGCAGAACGAATTTTTCAATCCAAGTTATTGACAAGCCCTCAATTGAGTCTATAGATAGTGTTTATCCCAAGAGATATCATTGCAAAATGTTTCTATCCTATCTTGGACAGCAGTGGAATTATATTGCAAAATTTAAAGCAGCAATCGGTAGAAGAGTAAAGGATGAAATATAAAAGTTAACTTGAATCTAATCGCCAGTCAACAAAACATACCAGATTTAACACCTTTCCCTTTCATATCATCAAAGATTGATCTCGCTTCTTCTAACTTCCCCGCCTTTGAAAGACCATCCATCAACATACAGTATGGCATCTAGAGAAGAAGAAAAAATATTTGGAACATAAGATAATTGCCAAGTAAATAGGATCACTATATGAGCTCTAGTTACTACGGTTATACCATGATAAATTATTGTTCTGTTTACTCCATTCAACATTTCTCTGTATTGCTCTTTTCTAGAATATATACAGCCAGCTTTACTGAAAAATAATATTGTCTAACTACCTCGTTCTCGGCGTACCCTGCAGATTCAAGTTCAGAAAGTAATTCTCTTGATCTATCAAACAAGCCTCCTTTGATATAAACCTTTAGTAAAGTTGTCATCATCACCTGCAAATATTTGCAGCTAGAGTTATATAAGCGAGAATTAATCATGCTGCTGACAGAACCAATCTCTCATACAATTACAAGTAAAATGATTCATGTGAACAATCCTCCAATTATTAAAAATAAAATCCAAAGAGAAGAACTATGAAAAGCAATAAGAGGAAGCTTGAAAGAATATGGAGGAATGCATCAGAGAAGCTGATAGGAGGTATTATGTGTTCAGCCATTCCGATCCATCTACCTAGGAGTATGAAGCTCCAAGTGTTACACAAACTGAAAGTATCTAGATATATGTTAAAAATCTGAACCACGCTTAAAACAATTGACGTCTAAACCATGTTTAGATAGAATTGACATCTAAAGAACTTCTTCATTTTTTATTAATGGGCACTTCTTAGGAAGTGTTATCTGCAGATAATGGTTATTACGAGTCATATCAAGTCATTCACATAAATCCATCTATCACATGAGATGAGAAAAACAAACCTTGTTTGGCACTAATCCTATTGATTTCATCTCGGTCATGAGCTCATCAGCTTTCTTGTAATCTCCTTTCCAAGAATAAGAATTGAGCAAGGAGCTGTAATGATATATGTTGGGCGAATGACCTTCAGCTTTCATCTGCTGGATAAAGTTTTCAGCTTCTTCACATCGACCATTTGAAGCACAAATGGCCAAGACAGTCCCATACATCACACTGTCCATTTGTATTCCATTATGTGGCAGCTCTCCAATGAGTTCAACAGCCTTAGGGTATCCATTTTTTACCTTAATGCAACCTGCAAGCAACTAATACATCAAAGATAAAATATATTTCAGAAGCCAAACGAAACGAGATGTTGCAGAAACGAATCAGCAATTCTCAATAAGCTAAAGGATCTTATTCATAAGCGAAAGGGGGAATAATCGTTTTAAGCTTCAAGGGAAGAAAATATGTGAAATATTTTGACATTTACTACTGTAATGAAAACTTCAGCTGGCATACCGTGTTATACGTAATCACATCTGGTTTCAGACCACCACGCTTCATCTGATCAAACAATTTGATGCAGCTGTCAAGCTTTCCATTCTTGACCAGACAACTAAGAATGGAGTTACATATATAGACATTGATTTTGGTAGACTCGTCTGGAATGCTTTGGTAAATTTCAAGAGCCTTGGAGACATTTTTGGCCCCCACAAACTTTATGCAGCTGCTGTAAGTTGAAACACTAATCTTTCCATGTTGTTGCATCCAATCAAAGAGCTACAAAAATTTCACAAAAATAAAACTCTTGCTTCAGCAGGAAACTATATAGACATAAAACTTTATATGAATGCATGTTGCAAAACAACAAACCTGTATAAGATCCTGCCATCGTCCAGAGATTCCAAAATCACGCAAAATCACATTCAAGTCTTGTACCTTCAAAACTCTTTCTAATCTGCAGAGAGAAGAGTATATCATGAGAGGAAAAACATTTCCCAGATCATGAACACGCGACTATGGAACAGAAAGATTACGCATGCTTGTTAAGTGAATCTTAGAAACAAGCAACTCTTATGCATCGCTAGTAAGGCTGTGGTCAAGTCACTTTCCGCAATTTGAAAAAAAAATGATCAATTTAAAATCCTATAGACCATTCCATAAGCAGCAGAACTGAGCATTCTAGAGATTTTTGTTTGACTCTGTATAGTATAAAAGACAGAATTTTGACACAAGCAAATTTTTTGAAGTGTTTGAAAGGAGTAAATGACAACAGACGAAGACATTAATTTGAAGCAAATTGAAGATAAATAGTAAAACCTGTGCAGAGAAGAGAGAAAATCAGAGGAGCGTTGAACTTCAGAAATGGCGGATTTCCTCGTTAGATATGAATTGGAATGACGTTTAGAACGAGGAGCTCCTGCTACGGTCGCTGGTGATTCAACAACGGCGGTAGATGTCGTTGCCGCCGTCGAAGTGAGGATTCGTAAGGATAAGGCGGGAAGGGAGAGAGAGGAAGAGGGACGAGAGTGAGTGTTGAAGAGATGAGGAGGACATCGAAGTTCAAGTCCCAGAAGAAGAAGTGGCGTCTCCATCGAGCTAACCAGCAGAGTCTACGAGAGTATCTTCTTTGAACATCGATGTTCCACTTTCTTTTACCAAAATACCCCCGCTTTTTTTATTGTTGCTCGAGTGCTAGTTTCAGAAGGGAATGGTGGTATAGTAAATTATCGGTCGTATTAAACTTATCTAATCCCAAATCTATCCTCAACGACAGAAGAAACGCCGCGTTTCACATCACATTTGACTTGTTCTGAAAATGGGCCTATGCAAACCATTAATTTGAAAGGATTATCTAACGGGCCATACCGTTAACACCAAATTTTGTAATTTTGTGCTATTTTGGAGAATTGTCCATCCCATTATTCTTGTGTATCCAAATACGAAAATTTTGAGAGGTACAGTAACAAAATCTTTGACAAAAATTCCCATGCGCACACACTCGCTAGTCACATCATGCACTGTTCTTTGTGCGTCCTATGTGATGATGCATGCATCGTTAAAACAAATTGTAAAAAATTTCATAAACTTTCAATATTTCCTTCTTTTCTTATATAAAAAAACTTTCATTTTTACGAGTTATATACAAGAAAAGTTATAAGTTGTCTCACTCTGACATGTTTTTCAACCTATTAAAATGGCTTTTCTATTGAACCTAGTTTCTCTAAATTACATATATATAATATTGTAGAAGAAAGAAATGAGATTCTTTGCAACGGATTGTACGGCAGGAGACCGACAAGGAACAAGCACAGCCCCACTTCCCCTCTCTTCATACGTTTCGTGACACCCACTTCACCATTTTTTTTCTCAATTTTACCAAATTTTAATTTAACTTAAT